AGATTGGCACAAACACAATTTTCTCTGTCTCAGAGGGAAAGTTGACCTGGAGAGAGTTCTTTTGTGTTTTTCTGCCACATGATGCAACAATTGGTAACTGCAGACATTTAGTGTCCCACTGAGAGCTTGACTTGATCCAATAACCACCTGAACAGAAGGGAAATGGTGATAAACACAAAGAGGTGGGAAAATCTGCTGGTAAACAACGTCAAGAGTTATGGCTGTGTTTGAGGTCTAAACTCCTTACCCTCAATAACATGACCATGTCCATCCATCCATCGGATCACTTAGAAGCGCTGCCTAAAACTCAGTCACTCTTAAGCTCTTCGGCTAAAGACAAATGAGTCCTTTCTTCTGAGCTGGTCAATGAAACACAACTGTCACTAATTTAGAACAATTGTACACCATTTTTCATCTGAACTGGCCACACAATGAGGTAATGCCTGCTTTGGTTGCACTGCAGAGAATGTGTGAGAGTGTTTACAGCAGGGCTCAGTTAATTTCACTTCAGGAAGTGGAAGAGGGGAATGGTTTAATCTCCTACTAATAACAACATTTTAAAAGATAAATAAGAATCAGCATATTTAGCAAACAAATTGTAGATGTAATTTACATTTTAATATGATTGAAGTAAAATTGAAATTCTTCCAAGCTGCTGCTTGTTGATTTGCTGTTGATGAAAAATGAATAAATGAAGTGAAGACAAATAAAAACAAACTCACCATTTCACTTTTGTTAAATACATGATTTATGCGCACTGTTTGAGTTCAAAACTAAGCTTTATCATTGAGTGACAGTACAGTAGCAGCTGAAGGCATCAGAGTATTCTACATATCAAAGCAGCCTTTACTCAAAGAGCTCCTCTCCACTTGAGGTTATCAGTAAGTGCTGGATTCTTGACTGAACAAGTGTTACAATGCCTCCACTATATGTTAGTATCAACAAAACAGATGATATTTCTGCTAGAGAGTGGTAGGATTACAATGTGTAAATCATTGTTCACTGTGTGTGTGTGTATGTATAAATGGTCACTGAAAATGTGTAGGTGTGTTTGATATAAAGAAGAGAACAAACACAAAGCTCATAACCAAAAGGAAAGTAGACATAATGGAACTCACATTGTTGCTCCATGCTCATCCCTGTGTTCTCTAGCATTAATTTCTTTCAAAATTCAAACGTTTAAAAGTTTTCTTCTGAGTCATCTGAAGGCACGAGGAAAGACCTGGAAGCTAGCCATGTCAGAGACTTGACTTGATCTGCTATAACAGCCAAAAGAAAATAATGACCTGTGCTGGCAACCGCAGGACTAAAGCAGGATTAAAGACTCCTATGATGGCTACCTTGCGATAATGAAAGATAAATAATACTTGATGGGCTGATTATGACACCATTTGATTGAGTTTCAGTTTTAAAAATGAATATTAGAAGTACTCATGATGTTTGCTTAATGGGGAAGAACATGACGGCAGTTTGTCAGTTAAGGCTCTTCTGAGTTTCGAAAGACTTAGTTGTAAATCAGGCTTACAATCATGAAGAGTTCACTGCCATCCTGAATTAAAGGGGAAGGAAGTGAACAGCATCATTATGTCAGATCAGACCTTTAGAGACATAGTCCAACATTTTGGGAAATACATGTATTTGCAGTTGTGCCAAGAGTTAGACAAGAAGCTCAACACCACTCTCATTCATTTATTAAATATAAGTAGCTGGTTAGCTTAGCATAAACACTGGAAACAGGGAAACACAACCAGCACCTCTAAAGCTCATTAACTGACACATTACATTTCAACCAAAGTGTAATTAAAGCTACAAACAGTTTGAACGGGCCCTCGCACCAGGGCGTGCTGTGGCCACGAAGTTTATGCCGGAGTTTGCTTGCAGCTGTGAATTTTTATGCATAGGAGCTAAGGTGCCATTTTGCACCCAAATGTAAGACCCATATGAGACGTAAATATTAGCCACTTCTGACATGTGACAAACTCTGCCCACTAGCTCAATACTGATTAATCAAATGAGATATAATCAGGTCTTGACATTAACACCCGACAGCCTGCTAAATGCGGGTGGATTTCAGCTTTGGTGGGTAACAGTCACTCCCACTAGCCACTTTGGCTTGTTGAAAAATTGTAGTCTTGTCAAAATGCATCTGAAATATACAAATTGCAATGTGACACTATGACTCCCATGAGTACCACCTGCACATAGTGTTTGCTGATAGTCCAATAGTGAAGCTTATTGTTTTATCGCTGTAAACAAGAAGATGTTATGGAGAATAAACTGGCGGACTGGCTGTGATGGCCTGAGGGCTGTTTTGGCCTGCCGTTAATTATCAACTTAACCAGCGGAAGCGACGACAAAGCAGTTAACAGGTAAAAAGTGACATATTCTTTTCTTCCATTTCTCTTGTTGAACAAAAGTTACTGTAATGTTGCTTTTAGACGCATCAAAACTGCATGGGGGGAATTACTGAGGCCAGATCATATTTAATGTGGCTACTGTCAATTTGTATGGATGCACACATGTATGATTGCTTTTATTTTTATTATATTTTCCTGTGTGTATATCTGTGGGTATATGCTCATGTTTAGCCTAGCCATTTAGGCAACATCTACATATTTATTTAATTTATTGCAGCAAATAAATGCAGAAAGTGTTATCAAATATAATAAATATCAGGAAATAATTTAGTTTAGGCTCTGCCTTGGTGCCTAGACCTGCCAACAAATGCATAATGTTAGAAGAAAAGTTATAAGAAGCCCACATTTCCTTAGACCTGTAGACCACTACAGACCGGAAGACAAGTACTGACCTGTAGACCAGTTGAGGGTGTCACTTTGGACTTAAGGGCTCAGATTAGCGACTGTCTTGAGATCTGCTATTGCTCAAAAACAAGCTCAGAAGATTTTTACCACTATTTTGAAGAAATGTGAAATATGAAATATGAAATATATGAGTGGGGGTCTGCTCCAATTTAGGGTGGAAATGTCTTCATTTATAACAAGAGGGAAAAAATTCAGCTGGCAGTTGACAAATCATTAATAGAAAAATATAACAGAATATAATGCAGGAATCAGCAGCCTGTTACTTTTTTTGGACGATGTACTTTGTTTCTTCTATATTTAAATTGCTTTTCATGTTTTATTATTATGCAAATAAACCTTTCTCAAAGTATTTAAATTTATTAATTAACATTTCTTGGAGCAAGCTATTTTTCTATACATTTTTAACAAATTCTTTCAAAAAGTCATGGGGACAAAATCAGCCATTTCAAAATGTGGTGGGGACACGTCCCCAGTGTAAATGACACCTATGAGACCTAAAGACCACTACTGACCTCAGAATCAGCTGCCCTGCCAATCTCCTGCTTCTCTCTCTCCTAAAATATTTTCATTATCCATCTGGTCAATGAACTGAAGGATATACCGGTACAATACCATTAACAGGGACACTATGACAATTAGTTTTCACTGAAAACAACATTATAAGGGGATTTTTACTGTTTTGAAATAGGCTAATAGAGATAGGTAATATTAATGGCGCTCCCACTAACACTAGTGTTTTCCATAGCCAACTAAAATATCCCCTTTCCTTTACCTCAAGTAAACGTAGCTTAAGTTTAGCAAGTAACACTCATTAACAACAACTAACAGTTTCACTCTGTATCACTATGCTGAATCAATCTTCCTTGACCATGTCTGTGTGTGTGTGTGTGTGTGTGTGTGTGTGTGTGTGTGTGTGTGTGTGTGTGTGTGTGTGTGTGTGTGTGAGTGAAGTAAGGCTAGTAAGTAACCCTGCAGGGTCCTAGAGCCTGACTACACTAGGGATTTAAATTGTGAAGCAGAGGAAACAACCAGAACGATTATTTTAAGCCAATAAATACAAATTACATTTGTATTATTCTATAGTATTTATCAATATTCTTGCTTTTCTTTGTTGAGTACATGTCTGCACTGTAAAACAAAATCTAAATGTAATAATTATTTTTCTTATTATTATTTGGTGGGGCTTAGGACCATGTTAGGGTTGCTTCAGCCCCCCTAAAATAGGCCTAACGATGTCCATGCATCCAGACTTTCATCAAATGAGAATATAAAGTTCACTTTGTCACAGGGCAGCCACAGTCCCTTAGACCTTTAGACTGTCATTCTCCTGCCTGCTTTTAACCTGATGAGATAATCTCTGTCATCACACGAGACTGGTCGCATGCACACACACATCAACACAGCGTTTATTCAGTGCGTGAGTGTGCGTGGCCGACCAGTGTGGAGAAAAAATGCACAGGAGAAGGAGAAAAGTGCCGTTAAATGCTGTAAAATTACAGAGATCTTCCTGATTAAGGGACATGGTGGTGGTTAAAAAAGAAAACGACTACAGGCAGGGCTGCACTTATATCACATCATATCATCATATCACAGCTACCTTTCCAGAGTTGATTCTATATTTCAATAAAAGTGTGACCGTGGATAAGACGTCTGCCTTTGGTGTGAGAGACCCAGGTTCAATCCCCCACTTGTGAGCCATCCACCAATGTTTCCCTGAGCAAGACACTTAACCCCTCGTTGCTCCAGAGGCGTGTGACCTCTGACATTTATAGCAATTGTAAGTCGCTTTGGATAAAAGCGTCAGCTAAATGAATATATGTAAATGTGGGAAAGCAGGAGATGTGTTTGTATGGGAATAATCTGGAAAATAAAGACCTGTATACTCGTTTCAGGTGGACATACCAGAGATTCATGTTGATAAACATAAATCCAGTTAGAGTTCTGAGGAAATGCAGATGAAAAACAAACAATCAAAAAGTGCACAAAAGTGATATAGGCCTACATCAAATTGTAATCTTGTTGCCTTGATTGTAATTCTTTGCTCTTGTTTCTAATGCAGATCATGTTTCTACTCTCTCTTACAGTATTTACTGCTGTTATAATTAAATAGCATTTAAACAATGTTTCTGATTAAATTTTTTTTAGTTTAGTTTTTATCTTTTCAATTAATCTTTTACACCCGTGCAGCACTTTTATTATATACAATAAAAAGCTACTCTTTTAATGTGTTTATCTTAATAGACTACATGTTTTCAAAAAAAGAGCACAACCTTATCAGAGCTAATGATATTTGTAAAATTTAGCACACCATAGTCAACTTTAATCATATAAAAGGTAATTTCCCAACAACAAAAATGTGGCTTGTGACGATAGTGTGTGGCTAGTGTCTTTGGAAAACCGCTAGCCACATTGGCTAGTGAGCAAAAACGTTAATGTTAAGCCCTGGATATGATGAGTTAGTTAGTGAGCTTTAGAGGTGCTAGTAGGTGGATTTTGTTACCTTTTGGCATACCCGACCTAGCTGTTTTATTTCATTCAGTGAACCTGTAACCACGTGACTGTAACCCTCGGATCAGGCGCATTATATCAAAACACCTGTGGGTGCGACATCACCCACTGCCCACTATATGAACGTCGCACACCTACACACTCTCCCCCTTTCTATCGACTGGGAAGGGATCCATGGGACAAACCTTCACCGCCGAGTGACAATGAATGGTTACAGTTTCACTTTCATTCACAAAACCGTGTTTACATACGTAAACATTTGTTTCCCTCTGTTATCATTAAGCAAAGCTAAGCTAACTGGCTACTGGCTGCAGCCTCAGACAGTGAGAAAGTGTATTTCCAGAAAATATCAAACTATTGCTTTAAATGATCAGCTCAAAACGTGTTTACCAGCTTATTCTGACTGGGGGTCTGTGCTATTAGGGATAAATTAATCATATGCATCTTTATCTTTATCATAAACTTCCATACATATGTAATACTAGTATTTCTGCGGAAATTGTGAAGATGCTTCTATCAGACACATAACAGTAAATGCCACCTGGATTCCCAGTGTCCTGAACAAAATGCCATAGCAAACTATTATACTCATGTTTTTCACAAGTTCATGAACAGAACATGGATTTTAAATGTGGAAAAAAATCTGAATGCTAGAGTAAATTATAATTAATGTTAATTGTTGTTTTTGTTCATTTGAAGAAATGACTTCAAATGACGTGTCAAACACTGAAATACTCTGACCACCAGATGGTCACCATATGCAACCTGTTAAAAGAATACTGTGACATTTTGAATTTGAGTCAGCTGTCACATTGTGGGAGATTGTGCCCCCCAGTTTCAATGATGAATGCTGACACCGCTAACAAGACATTTCAGGGAACACTAACAAAGACAAATGCATAAAGTTTTTCCACAGTGTGTCAAGTGATTGGTGAAGAAAAATGACAGAGTGAAATTCAGAATGTCCTTTCAGAGCTAATGGTGAATAAATTATATAATTGGTAAATGGAAGGCAGTTTGCCATTACATTTTGATTGAATTAAAAGTGAATTAATCTCAACCGCTCTGCACATGTCCAGTCCTTCCCATCCTGGACGTGACAGTAATGCCCAATCTGCTACTTTAAATGTGTCCCTCCGTCTGTATACATCATCCTTCTGCTTCTAGTCCATTCCACGTTTTCTTCTGTGGTTCTTCAGCCAACACTTCAGTCCATGCAGCCCTTAAAAGGCTGGTCTGTGCATTTCACTAAAAGCAAAACCAATCTGGATCGGTTTCTCCAGTGTTTCTTTAACTTGCAATTGGAGACCCAAAGAACATACATTTTTAGTGATAGGCTACATTCACTCAGCTTGGGTCCCCGACTGAAGGAGTTGGATGTGGTGTACTGCAAGCATGCTGCAGAGAGGTGAAGAAACAAGGTGGATTTCAAAGGAGATGAAATGTCCCTTTAGAGAGGTCAGGCCACCAGACCCAGGCGGGCAATCTTAGCAGAGAGGAAGGAGTGGAGGATGAAAACAATCGTCTTTGGACATGAATGGAGGTCCAATTGCTGGAGGAGGAAGGGAAAACAGCAGAATGAAAAACTAGAACAACACAATAATGTAAAACTTGACAGCGGTAAAGAGGAGAGAATATGCTTAAAAGATGTGAGAATTCATTAAAGTAGAAGGAATGACAGAGAGAGGAAGAGGCAGGGGAGCAAAAGAAAATGAGTTTGTAAAGCACATTAAACCAAAAAAATATATTCAAAACTAACTACACAGTCAACACAGTTCCCCATGAGGCAGGGATTAAACAGACCTAGCTGGAGCTAAGCACTGTACACACACAAACATCACATCACTGTGAACAAAGACCTGTTCATAGCCTGAATCAACAGAGGGTGATTTCACTGGCACTATGACTCACATCCTGTTCCTTAGGCCTATAGGGAGATTTAACCTATAAATTCACACTTTAACTACTGTTTAGTTGGTCAAATTTAACACTGAGGAAGTTTTAGAGGATACCTCATCTCCAGCAAATCCAGTCCAGTGAAATATGAGTAGACCTGCATATTACTGGGCCACATAAAATCTTGTGTATCCAAGAAGTCAGATTTTCAGAAGCTGGGATAAATGAAGTGAGCTTTTTAGTCATGCTAATATCGTGGCAATGTCGGTCCACCACTTTGGTCCAGCCTGAAATATTTCAACTACTGGATAGACAGCCATGAAATCTGGCACAGATAGCCACAGTGGCCAAAGGATGAATCCTAATAACTTTGGTGATTCCCTGACTTGATCTCGCCATCAGCAGGTTGGCATTTGTAGTTCAGCTAATAGTTGTCGAGTGAAATGTCTCAACTACTGGGTGGATTGTCATGAAATTTTGTACTGGTAATCATGACCACTTAGGATGAACTGTAATGACTCAACTCAACTTTTCATCCAGTGCTATCATCACATCAAAATTTCAATATGTCATATGTTAGTTTATGACCAAATACGTGCAAAGATATGACATTCACGACAGCATCAGTTGCACTTCGTGTTCAGTAGATATTTGATGAAGTTGATCGACTGGCATGATTTGTGCAATTTTTGGATTGTTTTATTGGAATTACTGGTGGAATTACTAGTCGCTTTGAATGCAAGCATTACTAAATAGTGCTAACTGCCAAATATTAGCATGCTACTGTAACATGCTAAACAAAGAAAACACTGTGACTGCTATAGATCAGTATGTTAGCATTGCAAGTGAACATTTTAGCATGCAGACTCAAGCATTTTCTTAGCATTAAAACAACCACTGTGCCTCACGGAGATGCTAGCATCGCTGTAGACTCCTAATCTTGTTCTTTTCTTTACCTGCTGATCAAGCAGTGTGTATATCAATTCTGTTCTTCAAGCCACAATCATTGGTTTGGCTTGGTCTAAACTCCATAATACACTGGGAGATAAACTGTCAATTGCTGTGACAAAATTAGGCATACATAGTCCCTGCCAACTAATGACAGCATAGTCAACACTTTGAAAAAAGGCCCAGCTGATTCCCCTTTCAAATGTTGAGCTAATGAGCCATCAGCCACATCCGTAAATGCCTTGGGATTTTTATAAAGCCTTGTCTATGGCTGTGTTGGGATTTAGAAATGCTACAGACACCAAAGTCTGTTCAGCTAAGGTAGCCAACAGAGGGTTTTGAATCAAAGCTCTGAAGTGTTTGCTTATTTGCCTTCAGCATAATCTAAGGAGTCAAACATGAGTGTATCTGACAGAAATCTTATATGGAGCTGTACACTATGTGGACTGTTACACAGACAGTTCAAGGCGTGGATATAAAATGTCACAGTTTCCAATTTCTGAATCCAATAAGCCTAGAGAGTAAATATTTTAGTTTTCACTGTCACTTCATTTCCAATATAGAGTAAATCACAGTGCTATGATGTATGCTGTACAGATGATGAAACATCAATTTTGTTTTTCTGGGTGAAAACAGTTTGCATAAGTGCCAAAAGAAGGTAATAAAAGATCTATCAGAGCTCATCCTCCTGACCCAAGCACTGATATTCATATCAGTATTGTCAAATTGTCAAATATCCAAGTGCCTAAAAACTAAAACTTTTGAAAACAGAGGTGAAGAACATATCAGGTAGTGAGGGTGATAGTGTTTGTCCTTTTAGTTGTATACATCAACTGGTCCTGATTATTTTGAGGGTTGCCCCTGAAACACGAGCCACTTGGACCTCCGTATAGTGAACTGTTGAGTGGTGTAACAGATTGAAACTCTTACAGTAAGTGACAGGCTATTTTTACAGAAAACACCACACACGAATGCTCTTACCTGGCAAGACCTACTTACGTGTAAGTTAATTTTATTTCAGGAGTTGTTTTCTGATGAAGTGCTGTAATTTACTTTCTGCTGTACCACTTTCACTCTGCCTGTCTCTCATATACTTGTACTCCCGTGTGTCTTTTGCTTCATTTCCCAGAAGGCCTCTTAAAAGCCCCTGAGAGTGAGTATGAACTTGTTTTATTAAATTTGAGTTGTATATCACCACAGCAAATAAGCTTGATGTGTCATTACCCCCCATCAGTATGAAGTAAAGCAATTTGATAAATTAATTGATTGATTAATCAAACATGTCTATTTACAACTATTTTACAATAGTTTACGGTTAGGCTATGTGCGTTGATTTCCAATTAATTTAAACAAATTATGTGTTCAGATTTGTTCGAACATGATTTAAAATAAAGTAATAGTCCTGTTCCACATTACAACATTGCATTCTGGTCTAATCAAGCTACCACTGAGGTAAAAATTGGCATAACAGCCTCTTCTATGAGGGTTTTCTATTATAGAAAATCATCTTGTTTAACGGTGAGTTTAAAAAGTACTCACATCCATATTTCATACAAGCATGTTGTAGTTTAATCAAAACTATCTCAGTATGATTTCAAATCACAAATCACTTCTAGTTGTTTTTAATAGTGTTACAATGCTGAGGTAGATTTTTCAGTGGAACACCTTGTGTGTCAAAACATAACACTTTAAAAGTGAAAACACTCACAATCTCCCCCTCCTTCCCTCCAAAGTCAAGGAAGAGCATTCGAACGCCATCATCTGAGGACATCTTTAGCTTTTCGTATGGGTAGGAGAGGAGCACCCGGGGCCTGCTAGGTGTGTGAGCTCCCCTCTTGTCCCCATTCTCCCCGTCTCCCACTTTGGGGTCAGCCAGCACAGAGAAGCCATGTTCGTAGTGAATCACCAGCCGGCACTCCTGACCCCGGTATAGACAACCTGGAAGATAAATAGATAGAACATTCAAATTTTTTGATTGATGCTCATGAGCAAACGCTCTTGCTTTTCATTTTCCCTTTATTAATAACTTTTGGATGACAGAACTAAGAGTTAAAGTACAAGTCAAGATTTGAATCATTATCCTGGTACATGTTTTATAGAATAAGTAATGACAATGAGAGGTAAATGTAAGACTCTAAATCACAAACATTTATGTAGTAGTACATCAAATGCATACTGTGGACTTCAAAAATGTATTTCATCCCTGCCCTTGGAAAACTTTCTCTCCTCCTTGACTCAAGTGCCAAATGTAGGCTTGTTTTGAAAGAACAGGACAATTCAGTATGGTTATGTTACTAGGTTGGATGTTTGTACAAAGGTCTTTCATTTTCTGTGTTATAAATACAAAAAGAATGAATGACATTGATGCAGTTTGTTTTGGAACAGCATTTAGTAAAACAAGTAATATACTTTATCAAATCATATTAAACTGACATTTCCACTCAAAGCCAATAAGTACATTTTGAAAAATAAAGATTTTTTCCACAGCCCTCTTACGAGTATACTATCCTAGTGCTTTCAATTAAATCTGCTTATTGTGGTTTGATGATAGAAAGTACTCAAAACATCACAATTACCACTTTAGTGATGACATTTCTTGGCTATATTTCCCCACTCTACCACATTTCTGTAACAGACTACTCTTTTCACGTGGAGAACAACCCGCTGAAAGCCCGCTGTAATTCATCTGTTCTCCAACATTTCTAATCGCTTTCTTTCCCGCTCTCTCTGTTCTCTCTCTTCACAGCGTGTGTCTGGCTGAAAGCAGAGCATACTATCTTTAACTGCTCTGCCAATTTACACATCACTTTCCTCTGCTTTAATGACAAACCTGTCTGGTCTCCACAAAGTGTGATGTAGCTGCATATAGTTTTATTTTTCAGTGCCTTGACAGCAGCCCCCCGGCACATGAAAGCTGCATGCAGAAAACTTCATTTACAGCACAAGCTCCTCTCTCTTGATGAAACCTGATCTACAGAGCAGCCTGTTTGTGTGACAAAGACACAGTGAGCGAGAAAAGATCTTTCCATTGTTTGCCGACAGCCTGAGCAGGATGTATGTGATTGGCATGTACACAGAGGGGAGTGTGTGTTTGCATGTGTGTACATGTGAGAGTGTAATGCCTCTATGCTGGTGAGGATAATCATCTGTTTCCTATCTTGCAGGTATGTGAAAGAGACATAGAGATGCATATATGACTTTCTTTCTTCTTTCTCTGTAGCCTAAAGAATACCTATGCATGTGTGTTTACATACTGTGTTTGTATGTGTGTGTCACTACTCTCTGTGGCCTGTTTCAGTCTCTTTTGACACAACTGTCAATAGGCTGATTCTCTGATTGCTATACCGTATTGTCAGTCCAACCACGCTAATCCCCCTATACACACCTAAATCCCTTCCTTGTTCAGCTCTTTATCTAAAGGCGACTATGAAACCAAGGTTGGCAAATGTGTACACACACATACACACGCACGCACACACACCCACCTGAGTTTGGTCAATACACAGTTCGCAAATAAAGCACAGAGTAGCAGCAGGATGGGTTGTACTGCACAACAATGTAATCAAGTCAAAGACTGCATGCTGAATTGATTTTGATTTTCTGTTATTGTTTAGAGTTTTTGGCATCGCACATTATAACCATTTGAATAAAACAAAAAATCATTTTTCTTACTGTGGTTCAGCAGAGACAAAATTACAAAACCCTCTAACTCTGAAATAATTACAATTATTCACAATGACAAAAAATGCTACAAAGGTTGTCAGCTGTAAATGAGGTGTGGTAATTAGTTATTTAATATGGGAGTTTACAAAGCAAAATGAGACAACCGGCATATAGTGAGATCCCAAAACTGCAGCTTTATTCATTATGTCAAAGCGGAGGCAGTGTCAAATATTGTACATGGAGCATAACTTTAGTTCAGGCACTGATGTGAAACATTTCACTATTAATCTGCTGTTGCAGCTCAATCTGTCACCTCCTCTTGTGCTAGTTTTTTAGACTTATAATGTTCATGTATTTGTTTGTTGAGGGTGGGGGGGATTAAGGGTTTACATGATCTGAACTAGCTCTTACAAGTTGTTGTCCAACAACACTGGAAATCAGTCAATCAATCTATCAATCTAGACCAATCACGCGAGAAGTGGGTATGAGCAGAGCAGAGCCTTTTCCACCAGATCTCACTGTGAAAGGTCAGTGTCCCTGACTCAAACACAGATAAACTGTGTTGTGCTGTAAAAATAATATCCATAATACCAAATTACAGTAATGTATCCTCTACTAGTCAACCATAAAACACACTAAAACAACAGAGGTGAGGCAGAGGAATTAAAACTTCAGGAAGTAATGTTGATAGGAAGGAAATAGTAAAATGAGGCGCACACAAAGTCAAATACACACTCTAATATCCTGGAACCTCGAAGACCTCCCATTTATGATGAAAAATTAGTCTCACAATGTGTAATATTATTTTAATGATGTATAAACAATCTGGCAGGACAAACATCTCCCTAATGGCATACCAGTTGCATATGGAGCAAAGAGTGTCAGATCTTTGTTGTGTTCATGAGTGAAAATTAGACCTGAAACTGTACTCTTCTACCTGAGAGCTTTGATCTGTGGGGCAAGCAGGGTTTCCCACCAGAATACACGTACACACACACACACACACACCCACAACACACACACACACCCACACCCACACACACACACACAAAGGGGCTTTTTAGGCTGCAACAAAAGCCCTCTTTCTGCCTGACGGTGGGTGAGTGGACAAGACAGAAGGAGGGGCAGAGAGTGATAACACAGAGAGGAACTTAATGAATGGAGGGACAGTGAGACACAGTGAGAAGAGGGACACACTAACTCTGTTACCATCACGACAAATGGAAATGTTAAAAGGTTATTAATGGAAAGAAACTCTGTTTTCACATTTGTTTTATATGTATAAATTACATTAGCAGCAGGGGAACTTCATATTTTCAAACTGCATCACACAGTGCTAAGCTTCAAGTGTCACAGCAGGTTACTAGGTTAATTTTCCACAACCACTGAGGTAAATGGCTTTTTTAAGTCATTAAGCTGTTTACCTATTCATTAGGGAACCCGAATCGACCTCTAAGACAATTTAACATGTTTAGCAGCTGTCACCTTTGACAAAACATTAAGGATAAGGCCATGGGTGTGCAGGAAGAAGGTACAGGTACAGATAATGTACTTTTTACAAGTACGTGCATCAAAGTAATATGTCTCAATATCTGTTTTCTAATAAACTATAAATATAGGAACCTTTTGAAAAATATTTCTCTTACTTTTGTAATCAAAAACATGGCTCTAAAGAGTTTTCTAATAAATATACCACTTCTGATTAACCCATACCAAACTTCCGGTTAATCTCACCAATGTGTGTGTTAAGCCCCGCCCATTCAGGGTACGAATATAGATACAGATCATTTAATTTGTTGAACAGATACCGATACAGATGGTGTGTACTCGCTCATCCCTAAAAATTATGTTTTTAAAAAGTTTGAAACATGACCATCTGGGCAAACTCTGTCTGCTGATGAAGATCATGTGCTATGATTAAAATGTTTTTGTACTAAATGGATCCTTAGTTGAGATTGTTTTCTCAACCGATGTTTATAATATTTAAAAGAGAGCAGATATGCAGTAGACATAAGCAGGGTTTAAACCTTGATGCTGTGACTACATGATACATATCCTGCTAATTGCTCAAAATATCAATATAACCTCTGAAAAGTTTGAGTCACCTTGGACATTATAATAACAGAAATGACAGCAGGCCAAGTGCCTGTGGAATTTGATTTCAGAGATGAACAAATTACTCTCTCCTTTAAAATGGCCTGCCGCCCAGTGAGTGATTGAGAGTTGATCCCTCTTCAGAGCAAATCTTTATCACGAGCCTTGACAGTGAATAAACCATCACAATGATTTATCAGAATGTTACACAGATGAAACCATGACAAGGTCAGTGCAACGACTCCTCAGGTGGCAACTGCTAAAAAATGAGTGAATGCCATTTGTATGCATTAATCACACTCCTTCTCAGGAAAGTGTAAATTACTCTTCGACTTCCATAATAAGAAACTGAGGGCTTGGTGCAAACATCAATCTGTTACGGGAAAGCTATGGGATCCATTTCAGACAGAAATTCAATAGTGATGAGCAATAAATATTCAAAACCATAATAATTTTTCCTCCTCCTTTTGGCCTGTGTCACTGACCTGTATCCTTAATCAGTATGACGCAAAAAAATTAAAAGCTGCTGTAACAACTATTTTTTGATACAGGCATTCATGGTCCCCAGAGGATGCATCCTAATGATTTTGGTGATCCCCTCACTTTTAGCACCACCATGAGGTTGTGTTTGAGAGAAATTGTTATTCAATTTGTTCCAGATTTCATCAGGATGGATTGTAATCACTTTGGTTAGCCCTTGACATTTCATCAGGTCATCATTTCAGTTTATACAAGACTTAGATTTAAGATTTATGACAAAATACCTGTAAAACTAGTGACAGTTCAATCAGTCTCTGCTGTACTTGTTTAGTGCTAATTAGCAAATACTAGTATTATGACACACTTAACTAAGACAGTAAACATTACACATTAGGCCTCCTAAACATTGCCATGTCTCATGTGAACATGCTAACATCGCTATGGAGCTCTATGGTTTTTGGCAAAAAGCTCTGAAAACACACTGCACACCTACCCAGAACTAAACATCAGATAGCATGTGGGTGAACCATGGATGTGCATGGATGTTCACATTTCCTTGCCAACTACCATGACATACAAAATCAGATTTTGATCAAATACCTTGGAACCGCTCTGAAAACGTGGATAAAACCTTGCTATGTTAATTACAGCGTAACATTTACACCTGCCTCTATGGGCACTGACACAATTTAGGAGAGTTTTGACAAGAGTTTGGTGGCCATAAATGATGCGGAAACAACGCTGACAACAAGAATGTGGTGTTGGGGTTGTGTATCATTTGCTGCTGGATACTGGCTGTTTCATATATAAGTGGAGTCTGAAGTGAAACTTAATTTGGCACAGTGTTATCAAAGATGGAGAGAGGAGGGGGACCCAGGGGAGACATGCAGTTCCCAGGACATTTTGTGCTTGGAGAGAGAGAGAGAGGCAGCGAGGGGGGTATTCTGTTAGAATTCCCTGGACGTCAAAGACCCAATGCCAAACCACACACACACACACACACACACACACACACTAGAATAGCATTCCTTTCTATAAATAGCAAGTGCTTTGTCCACATCTTCCATATGGCTGTCAACTTATATCACACCGTCTTCTATCTCAGTGCATGAGTGGAAATGGGAATCTTTATGTGTGTATGTATACATTTTGGTTTATGCACTGAAATTGGACTTTATTTTAGGCTTGCAAGACCACAAGAAGTATCTTAAATATCTCTGGATATGTTTTGCTGCAGCATGCCTATACACATCTAAGGAAGCATAACAGAATCCAGCATAGTGACCTGTGCTGCTCACTCTACTCCATCCACAGCTACATGTTTTTGTTGCGTTTCCGTCTGTTTATGCCTTAGAGTGACTAAATCTGAGTGTTTATGTGTTATGTATCAGTACTCACTTGTAGTGACTTCTTTGATCATCTCAGCCGAGGCGTGACATCCGTTGACTATATGCCTGGTCCACAGGGACAGTTCCTTGGTGGTCTCAGCCCGAAACAGGTGAGTCTCGATGCCGAGTCGTGTGCCGGTCCGAGTGGCAAAGAACAGCTCCGTGCCAGAGTGAGGCGAGCCCCGGTCAGGGCCCGAGTGGACCAGACTGGATTAACATAAACACACATAAAGTGTCATATGTTCTTTGTCAGGGAGAAGACACTTTTGTCTTTTCTATTTATGATGTAAAATGTCTATATTAAATTTTATGAAGCAAATAAGCTGGGTGCATTTGGAATGTGTGTACATGTGGTGGAGGACCTACCGTGTTGCTAAAAGTGGATAAGTGTGTGCAGGGCTCTGCCAGGCCTCCTTGCCTCGTGGAAGACTGTCATATAGCAGCAGGTCTTTCTCTGTCACCACCACCAGCACCGGTTTCCAGCACTGCTTCTCACTCTCTGTCTGCAGCACAAATTGATAAACAATGTGACAGTGAAGGTTGTGTCCATCGAAAATATCAACAGATCTTCATGCAGCTGAAAAAGTTTGAATTTAGTTGATACATTAAATGAATAACTGATTATTAAGAATCTATTTCAACAAATCAGCTAAGCAATCAATTAATCTTACAAGGTTGCTCATGTTAAATTGGATTCAAACACAGCCTTAATTAATTTGATGCCGCAGGATTTGATGTACCTATGCCCTCTTTTATTTGTCACAAATACTGAAATTGTCCTCAGGTTTTTAGACGAAAGGTATTTCATCAGTGATGTCAATGGCTGTGTGCCAGTGAGCTGCTTTATGGGACTAATGTTGTGTGAGAGAGATTAATGGTGTTTGTGTTTAATATGTACTCAGCAGTGGGTGTCGACCGGTCTTCATCTCTCACCTTAATCCAAGACTGGGTACACAAACATTGTTTCCTTCTTTCACTTGCTTTATACCTAACTCTTTCCATCTATCTCTATGTTACATTTCACTCCAAAATGCTCCACAAATCTATAAAAGCTTTAATTTAGCTGTTCTGGTCTGGTCTGTACTAACCATTCTGTGCAGTGGGGAATTAGCTAAAAATAAAAGGTGGCTGGTGTGCAGGTACACTTTCTACGCTTTTTGCTTTGCTGTGCCTCCTCGCCCACCCATCCCTCCTAACAAGCAAACCCCTCGCTTTAGAACACGCACTGTTAAATCTCTTAACTTAAATCTCACACACACACACACACACACACACACACCACACACACACACACACACACACACACACAGTGTATTTCATTTTACAATGCTCCATAACTGTTCTCATTATGAGAGCTTATCGGCAGCCCAGCCATGGAATCCTAAGCTGCTCTTTGAAGTTCTGCCTCAGCCAATCATAGTGGGATTTAGAGGGTCAAGGGTCATCTTTTTAACATAATGACAATATGTTGCTTAGTAACAGTACTTTACTGCATTTGAAGGATCAAATATTGGCAAATTCATGAGGACTACATTAGACAGGTATGGCTGTGTATCTGTGTGTTCACAGGTGTGTGTGTGTGTGTATGAAAGAGAAAGCTTTACCTGTGTGCGTACGTGCTTGTATGAATTTCAAAGATTTGTGCATCTGTGTGGATAGGAGATATGTGCAATACCAAAATATGCATGCGAACAAAGGTACCTGTGCACACACATGCACGCACGCACACACACACTTGCAATTCTATACCTTGTTTGCCATTCTGCATCACTGAGCTTAACAATCATCTACAACTACATGCTAAACCCCATGCAATGCCCTGAACTTAAACTAAACCTAATTTTAACTTTAACCCTATTATTATTATTGTTTCTAACAACAATTCTAACAACAAATATGCCAAAACTACAACCCATATCTAAGAAAAAAACCACATATAACTTATCTTTAATATGTTTCATATCTGTGGACACAAAAAAATCTTAAAACCAAGTATTAATCTTTAAACAGCCCCTTGAAGATGTCCTCATGTCCACCGTTTTAAGGTGTTAAACTCAAATTTGTACTTACAAAGATAGAACAAGAGCACACACATGCATATATATGCCTGCACACCAAGTCACAAAACGGTAATAATAGAGAAGTTACCCCATTAAAAATGTGAGAAATCTAGAGGCAGCGGTGTCACACACTCACACACCCACACATATTGTACAGTTGAGCATTGTATTACAAAGCATTTTACACTCCCTGTCTCACATGCACATACACACACATTCCTACCTTCCCTGCCAGCCATCCCAGGTGTCGTATCTCTTTACTGCCAGCAACCCCTGTCCTGGCTGTGTTCTGGATGACCTCTGCCAGTGCCCGCTGTTGGGGGATGACAGTTTTTAGGAGAGATGATCATTCAAGATGCATTAGATTCAAAGCAACTTAGAGGAGTTGAATCACGGCCATAGTATGTGATCAGTGAAATAACTGATTCTAATTGTCACATTGATGAGAATTATCTGTAAAATCAGTAAAATCAAAGACAGACCTGTGCCAGCGAGGATGTAACAGAGTGCATGGCAGAGAACCAGGACAGGGCAGATGGCTGGTCTGGGCACCGCAGCACCACGGTGTGCCTGGCGTCAGGGGAGTGCAGCTCCAGTTGTCTGGAGGAGGAGATAAGAAAAGTTAAAACAGCTTTAACCTTTCAGTTATCGTTGGATGAGTTCTAAAACTTTTACAGTTCACAACCTTGGATGAATAAATTCCTTTTTGAATATTGAAAATCTAGTGCTAACCTTATTAGGCAGACCCAATTTAACTCAATTTAATTTCCACTCGTAGTTTTAGAAACCAAATGTTATCCATTTAGGTTGCAGCCTCAACAGATGCTCGTTTGTCTCATCCGCTTGAAAATGGGCACTCGGTCTGAACAATGAAATGAAGTACATTGCAATTTGAGTTTATTCAAGTCAATTCAAAACATGAAAAACAGGCATTGCTCAGGCATCCTCTTTGGGCCATATGACACAATGCTGTCTCCTTCTAAATTTCCATAACTAATCTCCTTATATCATATGGGAGTATTTCCGGCCTCAAGAGAAATTCATCTGAAGGACGCTTCTGGGTCTCACTGAACAGCTCTTTGATTGTGTGCTCAATGAATATGAATTTTTTTTTTTTTTTTTAAAAGGTACACATTGCAGCCTTTAAAAGTGCACTGTTGCTTTATATTGTAGCATCAATACAGTTAGTGTTAATCTCTATGGAGTAGAACCAGCAGTAAAAATACTCTGAACAATACTCAGTATTTTTAGTGTTAAACCTTACAGGTAAGACAGAAAATAGAGATGTGAGATTTCAAACTGCATGTCAACATAAAATAGTTATAAAGTGAATTAAATAGTCAGTACAATCTGCTGCAGGCCACATTCAGCACAGTACAGGTTCAATGTCAATGCACAAAATAAATGGAAATGCATTCTTGATCCGCAGAGTTCCCACCAACTCTGAAACAATCTAGCATGTCTGTTAACAGCACTCCTCTGTCCAGGTGCTGGTGCTCCCAGTGGTTTAAAATAGAAACTACTCCAAAACCAGGGTGGTTTCAACTCTGCAAACACGCTTTCTTTGCAGCTTTCTTTATTCACACAGTGCACACTGGGGACCTGGAAAAGCCCCAGTGAATGTGATGAATATGCGCTTCCATTAAAACCTTGGAGAAGGGAGAGAGCATCTAGATCAGCTTCAGGTGTTTCTCTGGGTTAAAAATACAATTGCTGCCCGTAAAAGGGAAGTTGATTAAGGACAGGCAGGGGGGGAGCACAGGGAGCACAACTCCAGGCCCAAATGTGCATTTGATAGAGGAGGTTCTTTATGGTTGATGTCCAAAAATGTGTGAGTGGCTTTGGGTCTAAATTCCCTTTTTCTTGCATGCATGACACGATGCATTAACATGGGGAATCACAGGAGGAATAGCGCACGGACTGGGTGACCGCTACATTGAATTGAATGTATGGAATTTATAAGTTTGGTCCTGCTTGAATGAAGATCAGTCTCTCACTTGATCAAACGGTAGTTTTTCTCACAGGATTATCACTATACATAGCAAATATGTATTCCAGCTTGGTAGATCTGTTCCAGCATACAGATGCGATTGATGCAGTAATTTTACTCTAAATATTCATTGATGAACTCTGCATGCATACACAACAGATCCATGAAGGAAATGTGTTAATGGCAAAATATTAATTTTAAAGCAACAACGAACATGACTGCTGAAAGACTGATGTTTTTGATATAACAAGTCAACATATGAGCCTATTGGAATTAACTGTGTGTCACAGATGACCTTGCTGTGTAAAGGTATTTCTAAGTAGTCCTTTCAATGCATACAGGCCTGCCTGTCACTGTATTATTAATTAATTTACTTTACTGTTCTGGAATTTTACCAGGTCACAAATAGACATCTGACTGTTTTTGCTTTTTAGTCCCAGTCAAGCCAAGTCTTTAGCCAGTCAAGTCTCAAGTAGAGTTAAAGGTTTTCTCATGATTTTACAATGATCACTTCCCAGAAATTCCTGGGATTCATAGGATTATGCTTAATTATTTTTAGTACAACAACAACTCCTATCAAAAGTATGCTAATAACATCCAGTCGTTCAGCATTGTCTAATCTTCCGGTTTTCAGCATATCCTCTCACCGGTATGATCTCAGAGTGGTTATATGGATAAAATTGACAATCTTTTACAGTTCTGACCCAAGGTTATTTGTGTGTGCAGTGGCAAGGACGGACATCACATTTCAAACTGTTATTTTAGTGCTTTGAGGAATGACAGCATTGTTCTTGGACCTTTAGTTGTAACGTTTGAGTGATCCTCTGCACCTCAATGCTCTACCTTTTGAATGCTGCTCTTCTATTGGCTCTACTTCTCTGAATGGACGTCAGCATGTTTGATTAAGCCACTTGCTGAACTGTCTGCATGGTTTACCTTAGCATATTTTGCACAACCCTTCTTCCACTATTCCAATATATAAATATATAAATATTTTATCACACAGCTTAACTGTAAACTTCCATTTCAGCATTAAAAGTAATCAGATACGGTGTAGAGAAGGTGTCTTCTGTATTTCGATACACATACAGTCTTCAGTACAGACATACATGAGTAAGTAAGAGGTTGTATCATTTCAGTCGTCTGGCCAATTTTTCAGTGGTAGTATGTGGATTACTATATCACAGTATACAGCCATCCACCTGACCTCACCTGAAAGAAAAAAAGTCTTTACATCCTTTCGAAAACTTGTCAAGGTTAAACTGAGGTACTTTGGAAAATTGTCCCACTGTGAGGAACCATGCTGCTTCTGCCAGGAGTCATGTCCTCATTTCACAAAGCCATACATGTTTTCTGCGGATATCCAAGTCTTAGACATTCATTTCAGGTTTTTCCATGTATGTTGCCTCAGTAATGAAATAGATTAATAGTGAAAGAAAAGAGAGATTTCATCCCTTTTAAGTGCCGATTCCTTTTCTCCTCTGGTCTCGGTACATCTCTCTCTTCTCATTTTCCCCATCTTTGCTCATCTCCGCCTTTCCTGTTTTTTTTCTCAATTTCTTTTCTTTTCTTTTTCTCCTCCACCCCTCCTGACTTCCTCTTATCCTGTCTATCCACACCTTCTCATAACATTTTTAATCCACACTGTAAAAGAGTGTAAACCTTCTTTTTTTGTTTTTTTTATTTAAACTGGCACCAATGTCACATAAAGTTAGACTTGTCTGTGTTCTGGGTGTATGTTACAGTAAGGTGAGGAAAATGTCTTTACATAGTTAAAATAAAAGTAAATAATATCTCTTCTCTCTCACTTCTCTTTCCTTGTTTTATCATCACTGTATGCCTTTCCCCATATTCCCCTCTCATTTCTGTCCTCTCAGGCTTATACACAGTTTAAACAGAATCTGCTTAAATGAAGAGAGAAACCCTCAGAGGGACGCAACTTTGCACTGAGTCTACTACAAAAAAAGATAAGCAACATTTCCCTGTCATTTAACATAAAGCCTCTTAAACCATTTTAGCTCTGAACCCAAAATAAGAAAAACAGACAGGTTCAGCCTTGCCCTACAATCTTTAACTGATGCACAACACCAGAAGTACTCAACTTCCCAGTGTAAATGTGAGTTTCCTGTATTAAACATAACAGACCAGAACTTGGGTGTCCTCCTCTCATTTAAACATTTACTAAATATTTACTGGTGAGTCATAGGGGAATTTGTACGTGATATAAGGATAAGGAAGGACCTTTGTAAAAAAAAAAAAAAAAAAGAAAGAAAAAAACAACATGCTGGTCAAGGTAAATTTGCCTAGGACTTTATCTGTATTTGTGAATCTTCCCTCCAGCTCTATCAAACCACAAAAACACTGTTATCTGTGTAAAGCAAAAACTCACCTTGTCACTAGAGGAGTTATTGACCCCAATTGCTTGTATAACTGGCTGACCAATAAAGTCAAAGTTATGGCCAACAAAGTGAATGTTCAACCCTATTGTGCTCTTAAAATGTGTTATAATTCAACTAGGGTTTGTGAAAGTGCATCTGAAAGTCACTTTGACAATTATGATCACATTTCTCTTCAAGGGGAAATCTATTTAACACATATTCCCATTTTCAGAAAAATACTTGTTTAACTAAAACTTGTTACACGGATTATTTTGATTAATTCCCTTTCAGATCAGTGTGAAAGTGAAAGTTTGACATTTCAAAGAAGAGACACACTTATTATCCCTCTTTCTGAGAGTTAAATAAGAAGAACAATACAACTCTCGTGTCTGTGCGGCAATTAGCCTAGCTTGGCATAGCTTAGTGTAAAGGTTGGAAGAAAGGGGAAACAGCTAGCCTAAATAAAAAAGATACACCTATCAGCACCACTAAAATTTGTTTGCTTCATCTATGCACAAACGAAAGAGTAAATTTGTTGTCAGTGCAGACTGATGGATAAACTGCTGGATGGATAATCTGCTGTTTGTCAAGAAATAGCTCCAGCATGTAACTCACTCTAAAACAACAAATTGTTTTGTTTTTACATTTCTGTTAGAGTCCAGATTAAAATGGGGTGCTTGTAGGCAAATAAAAAAATAAAAATGCTGGACACAGCCTGGCTAGCTGTTTCCCCTTCCCCTCCTCTAGTCTTTATGCTAGCTAAACTAATTGCCTCCTAGCTCGCCACACTTTGTGTACAGACATAAGACTGTTTTCGTTCTTCTTATTTAACTCTCTGAAAGAGAAATAAATAAAATAAGTGTATTTCTTCCATAGGCGTCGCTAGACACCTTTTACTGGGGCACGTGCCCCTGTATGCATGCTCTGTGCCCCAGTAACAAGGTCAAGACAACTTGGTGTCGTTTTTTGGACGTGTGCTCCGCAGTGAATCTGTCTGTCTGTCTGTCCTGTTAACCCAGCTGGGAAGTGCATCGTGTTCTGACTTTGTTTTGAATCTTTGCCAGACTTTGTGTCTGAACAATGCTACAGTGTGATAACTGCTGACCGGCCACGGTGTTTATAAACTGCACCTCGGAAAATATAACCGCGTTGCGCGTATACTTGCGTTCACACGCGCGTGCATGACATTAAGCTTGCGCATTCCATTAGCAACGTAAGTGGGACCAGTCCAG